TTTTTCTCCCTTTTTTCTAACATCTGTTTTCTACCTCCTTTCTTCAAAACCTATTTCCTACCTCCATCTCAGCATTGTATGAAGGGGAAGACAGGGCATGTGGATGCTACATCTCAGAATTTAATAATTTAATGAACTTTTGATATATATATTTTTTAATAAGTTGTAAGGTCCACTTGGGGCATGAATTGGGGATCCAAATCCTTACTCTACTCTTTTTGAATGAACATTTATTCCTTTACACTTTGGAAGGCCTGCCATATCCTAAAAACTTTGCCTCGTGGAATTGAAAAGCTAAAATAACCTAACCCTCTCGTTTGCAGATGAGGAAACAATTTCAGAGACGCTGAGTGAATGGCCTGTATTTTCAGAGCTGGAAATTGGTGAGCTAATTTTAGAATTCAGTTGCTTTTTGCTGAGATTATTTTTTTCTATTTGATATATGGAGGTACCTAATACAAATATATTCAGTTATTTATTTACAGAGCTGTAATTTACCTATAGAAATGTAAAGTAGTATGATACAGCTTTGAAATGGTTAGAGGAGGTCCACACTTCAAGAAGAGAGCAGTGGAGATCTCTTGTATTGAAAAAAAGACACTGCGAAACCTCTTGGGGGGGGGGGACTTAGTATACTAATGTTCACTCTGCTTCCAGAACATACAGAAATGACTGACTTCCAAGAGGAAATTATTACATTTTTAATGAAATGAATGAATAATTTAATGAAGTATAGTAATAACTCAGTTTTAATTAGAAAAAAGTACAAAGATTTAACTAATCTAAATTAAGACATGTAAACTGTAGGTTAGTTTTTATTGTTGGATGATGAAGTGAGATTAGTGAGTTGACTTATTCCTAACTTACATAAAAGAGAGAGTCATTATGTCGTGAAAATGTTTAGAATGTTTTATGAATCTGATTATAAACATGTCTGTACTTATGTTTATGTGTATGCTTAGTCCTAATTTAAAATGTTTGTCTCACTGTCGGTCACATTTAAAAATACTGTTTGAAAAATAGCTGTTTTACACAAAGGGAATACTGAAGTTTGACACAGGCAGGTGAATACTTTGTGAAAGAATTTTGACTAACAGTTTTACTGAATCAAAGGAGAGGATAACTCAATTGATATTAATT